GGATGTCACTTGTTTGATTTATATCCGAATAGTGGCTCTGTAGTCACCAGGTGTCTGTTTTTCAGGTTCAGAATATTGAAGCAGAAGAAAGATGCACCTGATTAGATCATCATCCTGTGGCAGGTCGTTTACAGAACGTCGCTCTCATCACAGAACGTCTCTCTAAAGCTCTTTCCTCCTTGTGCACTCTTCGGTTGGACGTGTCTCTTATGTTGTGTGCACGGAATCGCCGTGGTGTAGTGGTTGGACGCTCTCCTATGTTGTTTACACGGAATCCCCGTGGTGTAGCGGTTGGACGCTCTCCTACGGATAGAAAGGTGTTTGGTTCGGGTCCTAAAGGAACCAGACTTTTTAAACGAAAAAAAAAAAATGACTTTGGCTCCTAGGTCGACCCAGCCTTGAGTGGGTACCAGGAACAGTCCTGGAAAATGAAGGCGACCGACATGATGCTAACCACATCCGACACCAAGTGCCGATTGGTCTATAAAATACAGGTCTAGCCCTACATGCCCACTACACTTGAAGGTGTGGAAAAGATTCCTTTATTTTACTTGCGTGCGCATCTTCGAGCTGGTCGGCTCCTGCCCCACTTTCCAGTTATAAAACCGCCCATTATAGTTCTTTCCGTTCCACCTTTGCGAAATATTTTTTCTTTGTCCGGACAAGATGCTGTTTACCTGTCAATCTTCCTGGATATTCAGATCCTTTGGAATGTCAGTATTTCCCGATGAATAACATTCATTCATTCAATCATTGTCCTGTTGTGTCATTATCTGTCACATAGGGTTCACAGTCTATTTCTCCTTTTCTTTCTATCATTGACGGCGGGGTCTCAAAAGACTTGAGCCATGCTTATTTGCCAATAATAATAATCGTAATAATAATATTAACAATAATAATAAGGAACCCCCCCCCCCCCCCATCTCTCCAGTGTTTACTTGAAGCAAACAGTGTTCGTGTATGAGTAGTTGCAATAGTAACACAAGGCGACATACTGGGTTAACGTAAAGCTGTTATTAATTAATAAACAACTATCTCAAACAGAAGTGAGCCGATGCAACTAATTGGCCTCTTGAAAGTCTTTAGTGCAGATCCAGCGCCTATTTTGTTTCACAAATGACCTTTGCTGTAAGGTCGACCCAGCCTTAAATGAGTACAATGTAATGTTTTGGGAAGTAAAGGTGGTCGGTGTGATGTTGACAACAACATCTATCAAGACCTGATGGTCTATACAAGCGGTGCTCAACCTGTGGGTTGCGACCATTTTTTGGGTGGAACGACCCTTTCACAGGGGTCGCATCAGATCGGAAACAACATATTCATTGAAGTTATGAAGTAGCAAAGAAAATAACTCTATGGTTGGGGGTCCCGAGAACATGATGAACTGTATTAAAGGGTGGCCGCATTAGGAAGTTTGAGAGCCACTTTTGTGTACCAATTTAGGTCTAGGACTATCTGCCAGAAGTGCCAAAGTGGCAAAATGTTCCTATAATTCCTTTCTTATATGAGACAGAAGTCGGCTCTGTGGCTAAGTCGATGCGAACGCTTCGTAATGCCGGGAGGCCGGGTTCGATCCCAGCTGCGGGCCATGCGCCTTGCGTTAGCTTCGACAGTGGTATCAAGAAAGCCGACCGTCCAGAAGCAATGGCAAACTATTGGACGTACATTTGCCTAGAAAAACCACACACCAGCCAGGGGTTGGTTCTGCAACGTCTTGTAAAGGATACGCAACTAACCTATATGAGACAGAAAGAGTTTAGTGACTTGAAGCGGTACCTATTGGGGTCACACACCTGCTGCCCACTTCGTTCATTTAAACAGAGATAAGAATGTCTGAAGGATTTATACTTGATAAACAGCCTGCCAGCGCCCAGGTTCTTAGAATGACGTCAGTGAATTGTTTACTTACGAACATGTCAAGGGTTGTCGCATGTTGTGCGATTTAGGGGTTTGATTTAGAAGGTTTGGTTCAGTACAAATACAACGGTCTCATCACATGCCAGACTCTGTTAGAAGAATTGTCATCTTCCTGCTGACGGCTGCTTTCTCATTTTAAAGTAAGTCCGTGTTCAGTTTGAAAGCGTCGACTGAGGCGGTTCGACACGACTGCTACAGTTAACTTGCTATTACTGCTAAAACCAATACACCTAACACTGCTGCGACTACAATTATTACAATTAACACTAATATTGCTAATGCTGCTACTACTGTTGCTGAAAAACCACTGCTGCTGCTCTTCCTCCTCCTCCTAATACTACTACTACTATTACTACTACGGCTGCTGCTGCTGCTACAACATACACTTTTACAACCACTAAAACGGTTTAGTAAATAAATGAACCATAGATTCATATTGTTAACCAAAAACTCAATTACAGTCACGAACCTCTCTTAAAACTCAGTTAAAATCACTTACTTCTCTTAGAACCCAATTACAATCATTCACGTCTTTTACTAGCCGTGAATATTTTCATTGAACAACATAACGTCTCTTACAGAAATAGATAGTCTACCAATCAATACTACTAGCCGTCAATATTTTCATTGAACAATATAACGTCTCTTACAGCAATAGATAGTCTACCAATCAATATTATTAGCCGTGAATATTTTCATTGAACAACATAACGTCTCTGACAGCAATAGATAGTCTACCAATCAATACTACTAGCCGTCAATATTTTCATTGAACAATATAACGTCTCTTACAGCAATAGATAGTCTACCAATCAATATTATTAGCCGTGAATATTTTCATTGAACAACATAACGTCTCTGACAGCAATAGATAGTCTACCAATCAATACTACTAGCTGTGAATATTTTCATTGAACAATATAACGTCTCTTACAGCAATAGATAGTCTACCAATCAATACTACTAGCCGTGAATATTTTCATTGAACAATATAACGTCTCTGACAGCAATAGATAGTCTACCAATCAATACTACTAGCCGTGAATATTTTCATTGAACAATATAACGTCTCTTACAGCAATAGATAGTCTACCAATCAATACTACTAGCCGTGAATATTTTTCATTGAACAATATAACGTCTCTTACAGCAATAGATAGTCTACCAATCAATACTACTAGCCGTGAATATTTTCATTGAACAATATAACGTCTCTTACAGCAATAGATAGTCTACCAATCAATACTACTAGCCGTGAATATTTTCATTGAACAATATAACGTCTCTTACAGCAATAGATAGTCTACCAATCAATACTACTAGCCGTGAATATTTTCATTGAACAATATAACGTCTCTTACAGCAATAGATAGTCTACCAATCAATACTACTAGCCGTGAATATTTTCATTGAACAATATAACGTCTCTGACAGCAATAGATAGTCTACCAATCAATACTACTAGCTGTGAATATTTTCATTGAACAATATAACCTCTCTTACAGCAATAGATAGTCTACCAATCAATGCTACTAGCTGTGAATATTTTTATTGAACAATATAACGTCTCTGACAGCAATAGATAGTCTACCAATCAATACTACTAGCCGTGAATATTTTCATTGAACAACATAACGTCTCTTACAGAAATAGTCTACCAATCAAAACTACTAGCCGTGAATATTTTCATTGAACAATATAACGTCTCTGACAGCAATAGATAGTCTACCAATCAATACTACTAGCCGTGAATATTTGCATTGAACAATATAACGTCTCTTACAGCAATAGATAGTCTACCAATCAATACAACTAGCCGTGAATATTTTCATTGAACAATATAACGTCTCTGACAGCAATAGATAGTCTACCAATCAATACTACTAGCCGTGAATATTTTCATTGAACAATATAACGTCTCTGACAGCAATAGATAGTCTACCAATCAATATTATTAGCCGTAAATATTTTCATTGAACAATATAACGTCTCTTCCAGCAATAGATAGTCTACCAATCAATATTATTAGCCGTGAATATTTTCATTGAACAATATAACGTCTCTTCCAGCAATAGATAGTCTACCAATCAATACTACTAGCCGTGAATATTTTCATTGAACAATATAACGTCTCTTCCAGCAATAGATAGTCTACCAATCAATACTACTAGCCGTGAATATTTTCATTGAACAACATAACAAGCTGAGATGTGGGAGAACTGTCTAAGGAAAGACAGTAAAGGATGGAACTGGTCGCCGAACTCGAATGTATTGGCCTAGGATGTGCCAAGGGCCATAACAAGGCAATATCGTGTTTTCATAAGATAACACACAGGACCCTTTCTTACGCCTTCAGGTGTATTGTGCATATAGTGCTAGAACTATCATTTATAGGCTAGTTGGTTCTTCATTAGTGATGTGGACAATTGTGAAAAAAGTCCAGTACCGTTCAGGTTGGAACCCACGACTTTCAGATCCACAGGCTAGAGTCTAGCCGCTACACCACTTGGTGTCTAATATCTTCTGTGGAATTAAGTGTATCTTAATAAAACGAAACCACAAAATGTTTGTGTCATTGACGAACTGATAAGGTTAGTGCCCGCCCCATGTCTTTGCTGCGTTGTGTCTATTGCTGTCTTCATTCTGAATACTCCAGTTAACCATCAAAGTTGATTTATGTAGTTGAGCTTGTGTGTTTATTTATGAATAGCTTCGATTGAACTCATTGATTCTTTTTTTTCCCCCACAGATGTGATCTAAAAACCAAGTTCTACATACACCATTAGTATTCTGGTTTTCAGTCTTCACCCACAAGAATTACCATTGATGCGGTGATGGTAATTTTAGTCTGGTAGCGGCAGCCATCGTTTGGAGTGACAGCGCACAGACAGTGTCAGTATACATATAGCAGCAGCATAGAGACAGTTACAGTGTAAAGGCCGCATTTAGAATTTCAGTGTACAGGCAGTAGCAGTGTACAAGCAGGGACTTCACACAGCTAGTGTCAGTACACAGACAGTGTCAGTACACAGACAGTGTCAGTACACAGACAGTGTCAGTACACAGACAGTGACAGTGCTGCCATGTATCCAAAAACAACACCTGGCCTGGAGGACGACAAGATTATCGTTGCCAGCGTGGCTGCTTTCTGTGACGGTAATCGCGGCATAGGGAAGAACGGAGCATTGCCCTGGCCACATCTCAGGTGAGATATTTCTGCTGGTCTTCGTGCTTGACTGCACTTGCTCCTTTGTTCTAAATTCATCGCACCGGTCTGTTTAGGCTTCTGTGCCTACTTCACACCCCCCCCCCCTTCAACCTTGTAGAGTCCCCCGCACCACACCATTTTCCTCCACCCAGTAACTTTAAATAATGTGGTCAAATAATTCATTCCCTCATTCATCATTCATTGTCCTGTTGTGCTATCTTATGTCACATAGGGATCGCCGTCAATCCATCTATTCCGATGTATCCTGAGCAATCAGTTGGTTTCATGGATAGAGTCCAGTCCGGCAGTTCTGGCCCCTTTCATGACACAAACAATACATTACATGATTGATTGCCTTCCATGTTTCGCTGTATCTTCTTAGATACATTACAACATAGCTGAAATCAACATGTTGAAGTAACTGTGTATTGGGAGAACTAACATCATCCATGTCCCCACAACTGAAGTATTTCCGACATGTCAAGCGACATGGGGGTCTAGAGAAAACGGTGATGGAAGGTGCAGTTTCTGGAGAACGAGGCAGAGGTCGACCTCGGCGAATGTGGATATGGGACATTAGCGATGAATTGGTTGTGAAAACCCCAGGGCTGGAGAATCGGTTAGAGAAAGAGAAACTTGCATGTGTGCCATGGAGAGAGCGACGTTCTGTACAAGATATGTCAGTTGACTGATCGATTTTTGTAGCCAGATTATTTAAATTGACAACGGGAAAACATTGTTCTATATAATTTGGTCAATGAAATAACTCGTTTTACTTGTCAATCAGGGAAGATCACGAGTTTTACACTGGCCTCTGCAAGACAACGAAAGACCCAAGTAAGTGCAAATGGGTGTTTATGTGTTTTGTTGATTACGATAGTGTACAGTTCCCTGTAGCACTGTGGCTATCACGCTGACCAATTGGCCCACTGGTCAAAACGGCATTAATGCGTTTTGTAAACGTCAATATATTATCCTTTTCGACCCAGCATAAAACGCTTACCAGTAGGCTGTCTGAAAAATAAAGCTGACCAGGGTATATTTGTTTACAAAATACTGAATTCCCATAAGCGCTCTGTCCTCATCTTCAGCAGCCAGCTCAGTTCCAATTCCGATGGCACAACAATCTGATTGTATGTTCGTCTCACCTTTCCGTTGAGTGTTCAGAGTCAACCAGATCTCCAGGTAACTGCTTGCTGCACCCTTCTCCTCCGACCGGGATGATCTGTCTGTGCCTCCGTACATCGGATAAACCCTTAGAAAACACTAACGTTTGCATTACCCATCGAGTACTTAATGGTCTAAACATACAGAGCTTGCACTATATGCCAGATACGCATCGTGGCGTAGAAACGAGCCCTTTCTTCTTCTTCTTCTTCTTCTTCACTTCCTCTTTTACCGCTGTGGGTGTCGAGGGAGATATAAGGTTCTGTTTCTAGCTCTTCTGGCTGCCTCGACCATAGGCACATCGTGCTGTTGTAGAGTTTCTCTGATGTTATCCTTCCATCTTGTTCTTGGTCTACTCCGTGCTCTACGTCCTTCTTCTCTTTCCATGTATGCTTTGTATGGTATGGTGTCACAAGGCATTCTCTCTAAGTGGGCAAACCATTTCACTTGCTGTCTTTGTATGTAATCCAGAATTGGTTCTGTGCCGACTTGTTCTCTTATGATCTCATTCCTGATTTTATCTCTTATGGTCACTCCTACAGCCCTTCTCAGACATCTCATTTCCGTGGTTACTAATTTTCTTTTATGGTTTGTTGTGAGTGACCATGTCTGGCACTGGTAGCACAGAGTTGGAATAAACATGCTTTGAATAAGATGTCTCTTTGTGCTGATTGGGATTGTCTTATGCTGTAAGAGGGGAGCTAGCTGCCCCAATACTTGGTTTGCTTTACTGCATCTAATGTCAATTTCTTTATCCAATTTCCCATCTTCGGTAAATGTAGTTCTCAGATATTTAAACTCAGATGCCTGTTTAATGCCTTTGTATTCTATTGCTATGTTTAGATCTGTCTTCTTTTTTCCTATTGACATTACTTCTGTCTTTTCAGTGTTGATTCTCATATTTGTTTTTTTACATTCTTCATTCATGGATGTTAGATGTTGTTGCAATTTCATGGCTGTATCTGCTATCAAGGCCTGGTCATCTGCAAAGAGTAATTCGTTGATCTTACTAAGATCTTCATTCATGGGCTTGGCATTCTTGCATATACTGTCGATGTAGGTGATAAACAGCAGTGGTGATAAGACACACCCCTGTCTTACTCCAGATGTCACTGTGAAAGGATGAGATGTTCCCTGATTTATTCTAACTACACTTCTACAATCCCTGTATAAACTTTTGCACACTTCGATGAGGTGTTCGCTTACTCCATATCTTGCCATTATTTTCCATAATAATTGTCTGTCGACTCTGTCAAATGCCTTCTCCTGGTCTACGAATGCCACAAATAAGTTCTTATTGTATTCAATGTTCTTTTCTATTAACTGTTTAAGTGTGAAGATTGCATCTGTGCAGCTTCTATTTCTTCTAAATCCCATCTGTTCTTCTGCCAGCTGTGGTTCTATCACTGGTCTCAGTCTTGTTTCTATTATCTTGGCATACATTTTGCCAACATGGCTTAAAAGAGAGATGCCTCGATATTGACCGCATTCTCGTTTGCTTCCTTTGTTCTTCCACAATGGTATAACTATTGTATGTTGCCAATCAATAGGGGCCGTTTGTTGTACCCATGTTGCATTGAATATTCTGTGAAGCCATCTGATGCTGCTTTCACCTGCTGCTTGAATTATTTCTGTTGGTAATCTATCAGCTCTAGGTGTTTTATATTTGGGAGACTGTTTAATGACTTTTTCTATTTCATTCATTAGTATGTGTGGTTCTAACACTGTTGCTCTGTGCTCTTCAGTTGTTCTTTCCTGATGATCTCCTAGAGGATTAAAGAGCTCATTGAAGTATTCCCTCCATCTTTCTGCTATCTCGGGTGGATCTATCAATGGCCTTCCTGTCTTATCATTAATTATTTTAGTGGGGTTGAAGCTCTCATCTCTTTTCCGCATATTTTTAACTACTTTGAAAAATTTTCTGCTGGCTGTTTTCTCATTTTCTGCTAGTGACTCACCGAAACGTTCCCAGGATGCTTGTTTTGCTTTCTTGACACTCGTGTTGGTTTCTCTCTTTTGCAGTCTATAGTTTATATAATCTTCTTCTTTCTTTGATTTTATCCACTGTTTATATAAGTCTTTTTTTCTTTTTAATTGCTTCTTTTACTTCTTCGCACCACCAAGGTGAATATTTGTTATTTCCCCGTCTGTTTCCTCTCTTCCGTTTGCCACATAATTCTTCTGCAATACTAAGCATAGTGTTTTTAAATATACTCCATTCTTGCTCAATATTGCCAACTACATGTGGAAGTTGTTTGAATGCTGTCTCTACTTTCTGTTGTAACTGTTTTTTTACTCCTTCCTGTTTCAGATTTGCTATCTTGATGAGATCCTTGTTTTTGTTTAATTTCTTTCTGTGTTTCTTTAAAGTAAGATGTTTTGCAGTTAACACAACTATTTTATGGTCAGTGTCACATAGACTATTAGGGATTGCTCTTGAAGCAAGAATTCTCCTTCTTCCTTAAACTCTGTTAAGTATAAAGTCAATCTGGCTCTTGATGGAGACATCATTCCATGTGTACCAAACCGTTTGATCAGTCCGTTTATATCTCATTTTGATTTCTGTAGCGGTAATAAATAAATTGCCGGCTTGCTAGGCCTGTCGCAACTTCACCAGAGCCCCGTTGGCCAGGACATTTCGGGGTGACCCAGGGTGGCCTTCATGGCTACCGTAGCGGTCGCGTGGCACGAGGCCATACCATACTTCGCCCACACCTAGCAATCCCCTACTTTGTCCTGTTACCACCTCTCACGACGAGGACGTGGGGTTGGTCTTTAAGAGGCAACGAGCCCTTTACTTCCACTTAATGTTTGAGGTTAGGGCATACACATGACTACCCGCTGTTAGAAGAGCTCCCATGTCTCTAAGACAGGATAAATCACAAAATTAGTTAATCACAGTTGTAACTTAATGGCAAACGAATCATTTCATGTCTGCTTCATTCCTGTGCTAATGAAAACCACACAGAATGTCCATCACTTTCTCCCGCGAAAAATATTGCCACAGACTGCAGCCTCAGCAAAGCGTTAAACGCATGAGGCAGCGGACAGAAGTGCTAATACAAACAGTCTGGCACTAGAAATGCAGTTTATCATCGAAGGGAGCAGCTAACAAACAGATCGGTAGTTACAATTAAACGCATAAGGCACCAGTAGTTCTCTGGGAACAGGCAGAGAAGGGCGAGACGGATATACAATCAGACCGTTACTGGTGCCATCGAAAGTAGAACTCTTCGCTTGCTGCTGAAGATGGGGAGGGAGCGTCCCGAGTGCTGTAATGTCGATTCCTAATTCAACTTTCAACATTCAACATTCTGGTAACAGGCCCGTCACCATTTTTTCTGAATATACAGTTCACAACACAAACCACGTTGAACACGCGCTAACAGCATTGCAAATGAAACTTTACCTCACAGTGTCACGGCTTAAAGAACACATGCAGAGATATTTATAAACGTTTACAGAATGAAGGAAGTACGAAGAGATAAGCAAAAATACGAGCCTGTGTAAAAATTGAAAACTAGTGTATGACGACACAGGGTGGATTGGATTGGCTTTTTACCCCACCAGGACATCACACAAGCGATAAACAGCCAATGACACAAAGTGCCACCATGCGGATGAGGATCACCGTGGAGAGGTCCCAGAAACCGCGTTCAGACATTTGGCCATAATGATGACCTGCCTATATTGCGGCCCCTGGCAAAAGCCAGAGTGGAGCTTCAAATAACAAAAAATAACGTTCTAAGAAGGACGTAACGAATTATACTTTGTATTTATAGACGACACAGGGTTTCCTACTGTCGGTTTTAAATGACAGGCGTTCAACATTGCACAAGGGACCGACCGGTGTGCCTACAATTTTAGCCAGCTTTTTAATATCCTACGCAATAAGGGCTTGTTTGGACACTAGTGGCGCATCGGGTTTTTGATGCAACTCGTAGTTTTATAAACAAACTGGCACACGATCGATGAAGTGGTAAACATCACTCCGATTGCCTTTTCACCCCAGACATTTCCTGGTGTCAGTTTTAGGGTGGATCAACCTGGGATCCAAGGTAAATTATTTAAACAAAAATAATTCGTTTCGATGTCGATTCGAATTCAATACTTTCGCTCAATATGTCAATGTCTAGTAATTTTTTTAAATGTATCATTTGACGTGAGCATACTAAGAAAATCTGGCTTCCACAATATCAAGCTCCTTTGAAAGTCGTAGTCGAATTGGAGGTTTCAACTTCACTACAGTTGAGTAACCCCATACTTGCTCCTTTCCTGTGCAACTGAAACCCAAATGAAATGTAAATACAATTCTATGAAAGTAATATACTCATGGTTTGTCCTATGGGTTGTATACACATATGGGCACTTTTTGCAAATCCGTGTGGTACTCAATAATGTAATACGTGTGGTTATTTCTTATAGTATAAATAACACCTGCCGACGAAAGTGTGTTTGAACAGATAACGTTATTTCAGTTTCATCGCTGTCATTGGCTGACGCGTGACAAAGATAGGAGTAATTTGATTTGTTCAGAGTAATTCTCAAGTCCTGAACAAATTTAGAAGCATTTAGAAGCAAGAGAGATGTGGTTTCTGTGACGAATGGTACGAATACCTTGGACAGCCAGAGTAACTAACAACGATTGCTTGAAAGAGGCTAATGAAAGTAGATTTCTATTTACAACAATAAGAAAGAGACAAACGTTGTTCCTTCGGCCACATAATGAGAAGAGAGACATTGGAGAACATCGCGACAACTGGAAAGATCAGTGGAAAAAGGGGTAGAGGCAGACCAAGAGAGATGATGTTGGATGAGCTGAAACGATGGCATGAAGAGATATCATCAAAAGAGCTGTTCCAGGCAACCATGGATCGTGATCTGTGGAGAGGCATGAGCGCCTATGCCAGTTGGCAGGGCATATGATGATGATGAATTCTCAAGTATGCATACTGTTTTTAATATATATAATTAACAAGCATACATGTATTTATCCGTACTCACAGAAAGAGGTTGAAGGATATAAGGACACACTAGACAACATAACAAACAAAGCTACAGTCACCGTGCCGGGAATCGAACCAGTCACCTCCAAATAATGAAAGAGCCTTGCTACAGCAACAAGAATACTAAGACGAATGACCAGCCAGACACTGAACAAAGTCTTCATTAGCTATTTCTATTCTACAGCTTGAACCCACACCTATGGAATACGAACAGAATGAGTGTCAAGTAATTGAAACAGCAAGGATCGCTCACTGCTAAACGGCAGATGAAAAAGAAAGGAGACAGAACGACCCAAAGAAACCTGGAGGACAGTAGAAAGGAAAATAAAAGTATATAACTGAACACAATCCAAAACCAAATGAGATCGAGACCAGAAACGTCACCACAAATATAGCTGACAGGAAAGTGAGCAGAAATGTGAGCTGACCTAGCTGAAAGTGGTCAACGAAAGAGAATTTGAATTTGAAAGTATATAACATGACATGGGATACCAAGGGCAGACAAGAGGCAGACCGGCAGCAAGGGAGATCACTTGTGAGTGCACTATGTATCAACGGGGGACATGAAGAGGTTATAAATACAGAGATGACTTCACCTCATCATTCTGTTTTTAAATTCGGGTACCAGCTACCTCTTTAATTATGATTTGTTTGGCTATGGAATCCTTACTTAAATCATGATGTTTGTTGTGTGAATTTTTTTTTTTTAGACAAAAAGAACGGTATCATCATGGGTCGGAATGGTTGGCAAAGTTGGGAGATAGAGAACAAAACCAACCCCAAGATGTCCACAGTGGTTGTCAGTCATTCGCTGTAAGTTTACTGGTTGTACATGCACATCACAACTGGACAAATAGACTATGTTGTACCAATAAACTATATTTTTAACTTAACACTTTTTAAACTGACACGCCATAGTTATACTTACGCACCATAGTTGTATTTACACACTATTGTTGTACTAACACACCATAGTTGTACTTATACATCAAAGTAGTACTTATATACCATATTTGTACTTGACACACCATAGTTACACTTATATAACATATGCTATATGTGTAGCCATACAGGAAACTGTGCGCCACACCAGGCCCGGCTATGGCTGAGAATATGGTAACAACCGAAGATCTGACAGTCCAACAGCAACCTCTGCCAAGAGATCAGCTTTATTATGTGACAGTCTATCATGTGAACCTTTTGATTTCATTGTATCTGTTATTGCTACAGGTATACTACTTCACGCGTGTCTAAACTGGCTCGATAGATCTATCATTAATCAACAGGTTATTCACAGAACGTCGCTCTAATGCTCTAGTCAGTTCTCCCGCCCTGTGTCCTTCCATAAATAATGCATCCTCAGTGTCTTTGATCCAGATTCGCGAAGGGCTGTCTCTGCCTCGTTTTTTCTTTCCGGAAACTAACCACCGTCACCGTTCTCCGCCTACCGCCATGACGCTTTACGTGACCAAAATACCGGACAGGATGCTGTCTATGAGCCAATTCTTCTTGATAATCATCAGATTAATTAGGATGTCAGTCCCCGTCCCCCCCCCCCTGTTTACTCTCTACGTCCATTAGTTCTTGGTGCTGTTTACTCTCTACGTCCATTGGTTCTTGGTGCTGTTTACTCTCTACGTCCATTAGTTCTTGGTGCTGTTTACTCTCTACGTCCATTAGTTCTTGGTGCTGTTTACTCTCTACGCCCATTAGTTCTTGGTGCTGTTTACTCTCTACGTCCATTAGTTCTTGGTGCTGTTTACTCTCTACGTCCATTAGTTCTTGGTGCTGTTTACTCTCTACGCCCATTAGTTCTTGGTGCTGTTTACTCTCTAAGCCCATTAGTTCTTGGTGCTGTTTACTCTCTACGCCCATTAGTTCTTGGTGCTGTTTACTCTCTATGTCCATTAGTTCTTGGTGCTGTTTACTCTCTGCGTCCATTAGTTCTTGATGCTGTTTACTCTCTACGTCCATTAGTTCTTGGTGCTGTTTACTCTCTACGTCCATTAGTTCTTGATGCTGTTTACTCTCTACGTCCATTAGTTGTTGGTGCTGTTTACTCTCTACGTCCATAAGTTCTTGCTGCTGTTTACCATCTACTTCCATTAGTTCTTGATGCTGTTTACTCTCTACGTCCATTAGTTGTTGGTGCTGTTTACTCTCTATGTCCATTAGTTCTTGATGCTGTTTACTCTCTACTTCCATTAGTTCTTGATGCTGTTTACTCTCTACTTCCATTAGTTCTTGGTGCTGTTTACTCTCTACGTCCATTAGTTCTTGATGCTGTTTACTCTCTACTTCCATTAGTTCTTGATGCTGTTTACTCTCTACGTCCATTAGTTCTTGGTGCTGTTTACTCTCTACGTCCATTAGTTGTTGCTGCTGTTTACTCTCTACGTTCATTAGTTCTTGGCGCTGTTTACTCTCTACGTTAAATAGTAAAGAATAGAAACATTGTAACCTTCCTTGCGTGGGGTAAGATTAGACTAATGGGGGTGGGGTAGGACTGACTGTGGAAACCGCAAACTCGTCCTACAGAAAACTAGATGCAAATTCAATGAGTCTCTTGGGTGTGCCTTCTGATGGTCTGAATCATTGAGAAATGAAAGACAAAAGGCGAATAAGAGACACTCGCACACTATTTAAGCAGATAATCTTCTTATTCACGCCGTTTGAACAAGATAACTGATGGGGTTAACTTCAGGTTTAACACAGAATACATTGTATAGACGTTCTTGGCAATCTTGGAATGAATGAATGAAGAACTGACGTCACTGCGCTTGGGACATTCCCACACGTGCTCCGTCTCATTCCCTAAGAGCCAACGAAGAATCGACACACTATCAATACCAGTTGCAACCTTCTTAAAAGTCCGTATGTGTTTTCGTCAGTGTTGAAGATCTTCCAGAACCTCTGTTCACAACCCGTTAAATTAGTCTTTCAATGTATTGATTTTCTGTATGTTCTATTGAACTTTCTTTCTGGTCCCAGGGAAATCTCATCATGTCCGCTTTATCGTAAAGTTGCTCACCGCCCAGAGTAGCGACAGCAGCCAATCCATCATCTTGCTCATTACCCGGCACTCCCGATCTTTGAAGCAATCTACCCTATGGGACACGCAGTCAAGTCTCTAGCAAAGTCTCAAGCTACTAATACACATCGATTCCTTCAAGACTGTCATGCAAGGCCACCTCTGATACAACGTTTAAACCAGTGTTCTGTACACTTGTTACACTCCTCCACCAGGAAAATAGATGAAATGACTTTCGCTAAGCGGCTAAGATAGAACCGTAAACATCTGTAGATACGGTGTGACTCTTCCACCACTACCACAATACCCGGTCGCAGAAAGCGAGCCCTGGTACGTCGAAGATTGGATTGTGAAACGATTTCACTAAGTCTAAGCCACAAAGCCGCACTAGAAAAAGATAACATGTTTGTATCAAATCAAATTGCAAATTTAGTTTTCAGTTAATACCACCTCTGCTGCTTAGAGGCTAGAAACTGTGATATACGTTGCTGGAGCGTTGTTTACGAAAGACAAAGCACTACCATACCACCTATATAATTTATCTGTTTAGATTTTACTATTACCATAGCATATAGTGCTACATTGTTGTTTCTTGCGCCGCATTAGCTCCGTGGTATGCAGCCGCTTCATGATCGATGTTTGGGTGTACATTTCTGGCAACAAGCTTTTTTTTTTTAAATTGCCCCCCCCCCCTCTTTTTACACCCCCGCCCCTTGCCCCCCCCCCCACATGACCACCGACACCAAATATTTTCTATTTTATAATTTTGTGTTATATTCTACTTGCGTTGGAGCCAAATGCAGGCTTCACAGTTGACAAGTCGTCCATGTGTAGTCCCGACTTCATGTTTCCACAGAAGCACAGATGAACCCCACTGTCGAGGGGTGGCTGGAAGCTTTGACGAGGCCTTGAGGATGTTTTACGAGGCGCCTGACAGACATGACATCGAGAGTATCTACATCCTGGGAGGAAGGCTTAATTATGAGGTATTTTGTTTTGTTTGCCTTAGATGGTCCCCCCCCCCCCTCTCCCACCCCACCCCCTCCTTGTTGATCGATTACCAAAGTTTGTACCGTAATAGTTCAACACATTATGTTATACACCATTAAATCTTTGAAACAAGACAAAACAGGTCGGTACAAACCAAATGTCGTTACAACCAAAACACAACAGAAGGGTTATTTTCCACTAGGGAGCCACTGCGGGGTAGCGGCTATCAGAAGGTCCAGGGTTCTGTTCCTGACGAAGCCGTACTTTAAAAAAAATTTGCCTTGGCTACCAGGTCGACCCAGTGAGTGGGTACCAGGTAAAGTCCTGGGAGATAAAGGTGGCCGGTGTGAAGGTTATTCATCCAACACCAAGTTTCGATTGTCTATAAAATACTGGTCTTGAACTAATGGCCCTATGCGTCTGACGGCGTGGATACGTATCATTTATTTACAACACAACACATGTCAAACACATACACTGTACAATCCAACATGCGCGCGCGCACACACACATACACACACATAGACTAGAACAAGATAAATTTAAGACAAATATAATCTGTGTCACACAAACAGACGCGTCCGAGCAACGACACAATATAATGAGGACCAAGAACTTACAAATGTAATCCGAGTCGCACTTGCAAATGACACTCGATTCCACAAACACAAGCAAACACTCCTAAACACACTGCATAGATTTGAGTGTATGAGCACCAGGACAACAAAGGCAATATTGAACCAAAGATCTGTTTGCTGGCACCCATCCTTTCTTCCAGACGACAGTGTTCTAGTGTGCGATGGGGACTATGGGAATCACAGCCCATGGCGATGGCGAGTGTGACCAGCAAGAACAGCTGATGTTAGGAAGCATTTTTCACAATGAGACTTCAGCTCCATTGTTGCCACCACATTTGACATGTTTTTGGCATGTTTCTTCTCAAATGTTTAGCTTTTACGCTGCTAGCCATCTCCTGCCAGCCATCCTTTTCTTCTTTGTCTATTTCCTTAACCCCTCCCCCCCCCCCTCCCACTCTCCCCCGCCATTCACATGCAGTGCGATCCATAGCATTCCATGAATCCAACTCAATACATGTATCACTCATGTCACACTAACCACACATAGTAAAGGTCGACCGCGACAACTTCTATCCATCTGTAATACTGTAATATTAGTTTTGTGTTCTAAATAACTAATTCGTAAAATACGTCTGCAGCATTTACTTTGAAAAGCCTGAATCCTCCTCTCACGGTGGAAATGGACAGGAGGATTCAGGCTTTCAAATGTAAATGCTGTAGACGACATGTGCACTGAGAACCCTGTGACCAGAGATCGCCATTAGGACAAATTCGTGTAGAAATGTGTTCGGTCATAAGCTAACATTTGTAGTGCTAAATAACATGCAAGATAACTAGAACTCTCACCGGATTGAATGGAAAAGACGTCCACAAATACAGCCCAACGTTTGGTCCAAAGTGTTGATCAACAGAGTACACAGTACAACACAAACAACAAACAAGCAGGGGGAAAATTCAGTGGACAAGAAAACAGAGCTTGTAAACAGCCAAGGCCAACATAAAACCGAGACATACATATTTGGGGGGTTGGGGGTGGAGGTGGGGGTGGGGGTACGAGCATGAAGGACACAAATACGGAAAGAATTAAGTAAGAAGGCGTTTGAAATAAAAGCAGGGTAGAAACATAAACGAGTAAAAGTTAAAGGTTAGTTGCGTATCTTTTACAGGACGTTGCAGTACCAACCCCAACAGCCCCTGGCTGTTGTGTGGTTTTTCTAGGCAAATTAACGTCCAGTAGTTTGCCATTTCCCTCTGGACGGTCGGCTTTCTTGATACCACTGTCGAAACCAACGCAAGACGTATGTGTGGTCCGTAGCTGGGATCGAACCCGACAACCCAGCATTACGAAGCGTTCGCATCGGCTTAGCCATAGAGCCGACTAAAAAAAACCTCAGAAATGAATAATAATAATAATAAAATTGAGTTAGAAACAGTTGTGATTGTTCAGTGCTAATACCGACAGGACCGGAGACGTCAGGATTGTGAATGAAACAATTTTCTAAGAGCTAGCGGCTGTTTTTATCACTAATTTATTTACATCATTGTCCTTCATCTTCTCTTTGTCGTTTTGTGCCGTTTATACCTCACACAAGGTTCGCATTTTATTCCTCCATGTTCTGTTGTGTGCAATCCTTGTGATGTAATGTAATTTCAAATTGCAGCCACCCAGAAATTGATGACAGAATCAGGGAGGACCCCACAAATGGCATCAAATTTCGATTTGAAGTCTGGGAGAGGAACTCACCCAACAGTATCTAGACCTGATGTTGTTGTGTTGATAGCACTTGTGATAATTTTGATTATGTATATGATTTTGTTTATGAGAGTAAATACATTTAAAAAAAAAAAAACACGGATAAGATGTATTTTGTTATTTAATTTCACGATTATGCGTGTGCATATTTTTACTCACTTTCATTGGCACCCAGTGTGCCTTAAAAATCACATTTTCTTTCATTATATTGTGCTCTTTTTCTCACACACACACAAACACACACACAAACATACACACACATGCGCACACACACACACACACACACACACACACACACACACCCACGCACGCACGCACGCACGCGCGCGC